ATGACCACTGTCCCATTCCCACTAGGGGGACTCCACAGCTGGATGACTAGTGTCCCGTCCCACTAGGAGGTCTCTCCACAGCTGGATGACCGCTGCCCCGTCCGAGCGTGGGTTTTAGCCGTGGCTGACATGCAGGGCGTGGGTTTGGGTAGCAGAGGGGGGGGGGGGGCTGACGGCCGTGCACGTGGTGCTGTGGACGTGTTCATGGCCAAAAACAGAGTTAGGCAGAAATGAGGGGCGGAGCCTCAGCCGGCCCGGGGGACCAATCAGCATGCGGGCCAGCGGCGGCGCCATGGCGTGAGCGTCCGGATGGAGTTTGAGTCAGGTGTGTTTTTTTCAGCTGGACGGAGGCGGCTGAGGTCCGGCCCCCGGGCGGTCAGCGGGCGTTCCTCCTCAGTCCTCGCCGCGGCGGGCCGCTCAGACCTGGTGAGAGCTGGAGTCCGACGTGCCGTCCGAACCCGACCCTGCAAGTCCAGCACAGAACCGAGAACAGTCACTGCAAACTGACCATGGCATGTGTCCATGTGATTATTAATCAGTTCGCGGAGGCGGTTTCAAGTTCGTATTTAATACTAAACTCAATTTTCCACCAAAAACAAACTAGTTTTGAGTTAATTTCAAACTTTTTGGTTGGAAATTTCTAGGGCTGTAAAATCCCAGTCGGTTTTTATTGGTCGATGCTTTCTGGGTCTATCAAAATTCTGATTGGTCGTCCAATTTGCCGGTTCATTTAATCCAGCCTATGGTTAATTTCATCAGGAGGAAAGTACCAAGTGCTAAGGGGGGGTGTTCACAGCAGCCCTGTTTTACGGGGTGCCTGTGTTCAGAGGACACCCCCCTTTTTTTCACTATTTTGGATTAGCCCAACACGCAACAGACAGGTAGATTGAAGCACGTTCTCTTTATTCATCGTCCAAAGGTTTTTTGAGTATTTATTTTTATTTTAAAGTTTGATTTACGGTGAGTCCTAATTCAGACCATAGGCCTCACTAACTACTTTATAGAGCCCACTTTGGCTTTTTAGTACTCCAGTTTTTATGCTATTTACTTATTCCAAAGATTTCTCAATGACAAAGGAAAGTGGTTTGGAACAACTTCCCTTCAGATCTTTGTTTTACTTCAGAGAATATTGAAGTCTAAACTAAAGACTTCTCTTTTTAGACAGGCTTTTAATACCATGTAGTGGAATGGCCTTTTCCTTACTTAATTATTTTATTGTTATGTGTATTTCTTTTGTGATGTAACTTTTTATGGCACTTGTGTGATGTAACTTTTACTGTGAAGTGCTTTGGTCACCTTTGTTGGTTGTTGTTAAGCGATATATAGATAATAAATCAATCAATCAAGAGGGAATTTGGAATTGTTCTTAACTTTTATAAACTCTTCTCACAAAAATATCTTTTTCAGATTTAGAAACAGAAACCAACTTTTTTGAGAGAAATAAAATAATAATTTGCAGGTGAATTCTTAAAGAACTTTTTGAAAAAACATTTTTTTCTACCCGTTTGATCTCATGTTAACGTTGTGAGGAAATTACTTATGACTAGTCATTTCTTTTGAATATATTATGCTTTCCATGTTCTGCTCAGAAACACCTCTTGCCAAAAAGCCAGAGCAAACCAAAAGAAAAATAACTTCTATATAAAGATCATAACATGAGGTGAAAATGTCATGGTTGTCCTGTTAAGTCATTAATAGGCCTATAATCCAAATGAAACACATTATGAACTCATAAATGATTATGTACATCCTAAATCTTGTTCACTTCTATTCCGTTTGACTGCAGTTTGTATGTGTGCTAAAGCTCTGCTGTGGAGCATTCTGTTTTTCCACAGTCATCTCTTTTACCGTTATCCTCTGCCGCTGCCCCCTCCATCAGCTCTTTGGCCTCCACCGCCAGCTGGAAGGCGGGATCGGGCAGTGGCGAGGGGGGGTCAGGGCTGTCGGCGGCCGGAGACGACTTGCTGCTCCTGATGTGGGCAGAACACACAAGAGAGAAGGAATTCCAACAGGAGCTCTCCCCAAAGCGGCAGAGGACAATATGAAAGGTTTTTTATAATATTCTGGGCTCCCTACCCGGCCTCTCCTCCAAACAGACTGGGCGTGGTCAGCACTTTGTGGACATTCTGTTAAAGGAGAGACAGGTCAGAGGTCATGTGATGTGCCAGAGCTCTACGCCGCTCGTCCTCCTGAGAGCCCAGATTTTGTCTGGGTTTCTCTTTAGATTTAAAATGGTTGTGTAGAGATTTAATTCAGTTTGTTTCTGAGGGTCCAAATGACTTATTTACATTTTAATTCCACAATAAGAACACGATTGGTGTAAAATGTCTAAAAGCATTTTCCTTTAGATTTCAAACAGTAGTGTCTGATAGCATCTGCTATGAGGCCAAGAGGTCAAAGGTCAAACAAAAAGATGGATCATGGTGCAGAGAGGCAGAAATGCAGAACAGGCTCTCAGGAGGTTATACATCTGTTATGAACATTTTCTAAGAGAGTTGAATTGGAAGAAAATAAGAATGACATTTTTTATTTATTGTCCTCACATAGGAACTATGTCAAACTGGATCCAGAACACGCATGATTTGTGGTTAAGCTCCAAATTTTCCCCATTCATTCCACATTTAAATTGTAACTTATGCCAATTTATGCACAATGTGTTTAAGAAGTCCACTGACACTGATTGGTCAGCCACACAAAGATGTCAGAATGGGATTTAGATAGTTTGAATTTTCTTTTGATCCATTTAATGCATCTCTATTCGCTATTCTGGAGTTCAGTGGCAGCATTATAGTACGGACCATGTATGTTGCACCCACTAAAAAAGAGCAGCAGTATGCTCCTCGGCCACTGGGAGGAGATCTGACTCTAATTTCAACGAATGAGGCAGAATGCAGAGTCCAGGATCTCAGATATGAAAACAATAATATTCATTTTTTTCATTCACAAAGCCCAAATGTACCTGTGCAAAGCCCATCAGCTTCTTGTTGGAGATCTCCAGATGTTTTCTGCTCAGCTCCGACCTCCTCAACTTGGAGTCGATGGTCAGCAACCTTCTGTTCAGCTCCACCACGTCATCCTGACCAACACACACACACACACACACACACACACACACACGTGAACAAGTATGCAAAGATGTGTATGATAAAACTACAGAGGAAGCCAGCAAGATAAAAAAAACAACAGAATGAAATGCAGAACTCTTTCCTTAAGGGGGGGTGTATAGTTTTTGCACAAACACCCCCCCCCCCCCCCACCTGTTAATATCCATTCACACATTCCCATTTATCCAAAAACTTCAGTTCCAGCTGGTTGAAACGCAGCATCAGTTTGCTAACTAATTGTTAGAGTATTATTAACTACTCTATTTTAAAACTCCCAAATGTCCCAATTCATGCTTTTTTAAAACTCTTTTATAATGAATAATTTCTCTTTACACTGCGATGGGCTGTACCCTACCTCTCATCTATTTTTTGCTCTCTGAAATGGATGGAGTCTCTTGCACATTGTTGTACAATTGTCAGTTTAATCTGAATAACTCTTCATATAGATAATAATCCAATGAACCAAAACACTAGTTTTGTCACTAGTTACTTTATCATTTCTCATTTCTGTTTATTACCTATTTATTACCTATTTGTTGTGTTTTATGCCGATAAAATGTGTGGACTCTCTTGCAAATTATTTGACAGTTAAAGTCTTGAACATTATTCTTATAAATAACAATAATCCAATGAACCAAAACACTTTATTTGTCACTTTATCACTTTATAATTGGTCATTTCTGTGTTTATTAGCTATTTATAACCTGTTTGTTGTGTTTTAAGCCGCTGTAATTCATCGCTGGTCACTTTAAACAATTGCTCACTACTTTAGTTGCAGTTAATATATTACACAGCGACTTTTCTGAGGATAAGTAAAGCTTTTTGAATCTTTGAATTTCATAGCACATGCATTACCATAATGATCCAGCGATAGCTAAAAATCACTGTGATCAGTAAATGTCTTTTAATGATCAGCAGGATGCAAAGTCTACAGTTCTCACAGAGCTTTATACCTATGAGCCCTTCATAAATGGACTAATGCTGATTTATTTCCACCTCCTATGAAGAAGGCAAACAAAGGAGGAGCTCTACTGGCTACTTAGCTCCTGGCCTATCCGATTGGCCACATCTGTCCCATGTCACTGCCTCTCACCCTTTTAATTGGGCGCCTTCCTGCGACCAAACGTCCAGTTTCCCTTCAGGACCAGCTCCTATTTGTGCTGGCGTGTTATTTAGAAGTTAAACTCCAACCATGTGACCGTGTGTGGCAGCAGCTGTCATGTCTCCTCGTCCTGGTTTTTTATTTATTCTCTGCTCTTTGTCGGTGGATTGTGTTTTGTGTTGTGCTGTTTTTTTTAGGGAGGGGGGGGATAGCTGAGGAATGCACAGCCAGAGGATTTACCAGCCCTCAATAGAAAGCCACAGGTATACTGTAGCTGTGAAAATTTATGTAAAGCCTCTTTTTTTTATGAAAAGCCGGTTTCAGGTGAAAAGAGGCAGAGCTCAGTGGCCGCTGAGAGATGCAGTTTGATGTTTTCCAGAGAGGAGAGGATATAGAATGAAGAAAAAAAAAAATTTTTGTGCTGCACGGCTCTGATTTTGTGAGTTTGTGATGGGAGGAAGGCAGAGAAAAGCGATAGCTCCCCTTAGAGAACACAGTCAGATGTGGGCTCTGAGTTCTTTTTGTTGTTTACCTCTCAACTGCCGGCAATAATAGCTACTAAATGGGATTTGATCCGTTTTCATCTATGGGTTACTAACTGTGGAGGCATTAGTGACGTAACATGCCGGGAGCAAGGACGTCCTGGATAGAACGCTTCTGCCAATATCTTAAACTGTGTTGTTTTTCTCTGGTTTCATCCAGGTGCAGATGGAAATTCAATCTGCTGGGCGTGGTGGTCACCGGTTCGAATCCCTTTCCCTGTGGAGTTTGCTTTTTCTCCCTATGTCTGTGTGGGTTCCCTCCACTGTCCAGAACCAGGCATTTCAGGTTAATTGAACCCTCTGAACGGCCCCTAAGAGGGAATGTGAGTGTGTGTGTGGTTGTGTGTCTCTGTGTGACCCTGTCCTGGGTGCACCCCGCCTCTCACCTAACGTCAGCTTGGAATGGCTCCAGCCACATGTGAATGCCATTGTAAATCATACGGATTGTGAGTTTAAGATGGAAAAGAAAAGAAAATGAGAAATATCCTTTGAGTGGGGACCACAGTCCAGTTAAAGTACAAAATTTTTATGCTAGTTAGGCAATCGAAAAGAATTGTATACATAATGCACGTGCATTAAATTTTGGAACTTCATTTAAATTATTTGATATTTTGTAAATGTGGTTAGAATTAATAGGAAAGGAAGATGGAGTACAAAGATCAGAAATTCCAGGGTTTAGAAGAGGAAGCATTGGGAGGGGTTACCACGTAAAGTGATCCAACAATTAGTTAAAACAAGTAGTAAAAATACCAGGGTTAGGGTTATGGTTAGGGGCAAGAGGTGGCCTGGCCCCCTTATTTAAACGTTGTGCCCCCCAAAACTAAATTCCACAAAATATATCATATTTCATATATTTATATTATCTCATGCTTCCCTCTGCTCCACTTCTTAATGTCATAATTTTAAAAAATATATAAATATTTTAAAAAATGCCAAAAATGTTTTATTCTTGGCTATTCTAACCTAGGCAATTTATTTAGGCCTTTGTTTTTGACGCGCACAATGGCCTCATCCGGTAAACCTAAGAAACTGTTAAGTTGTTTGTTTTTTCTAGGCTAATTGCCTTTATTTTACTTCTTTAAATCCATTTAAAAAAACTAAACAAAAACATCCTCTGGATGGATTGCCACCTTACTGTGGTCAGGAGATCTGGGTGCCTCAGTGACCCTAAGAGCCATAGACCAACAGAAGCTAGTCTTCATAGGGACACCCATGCTGGGCAGTCAGTTTAAACAGAGGGTGGGACATACAACTACCAGCAGCCCAAGCTCAGATATACTTGGTTTAACAACAATAACTACAATTAAATAAGTCTGCCAAGCCTTTGAGACCACAGTCCCACACGGATCGTGAGAATGGTGAGTTCCTCGTTCGTTCTGGACTCACCTTGCTGGCCTCTGCCCCTCGCGTGGGCCTCTTGTTGGCCAGCTGGTTTTTCAGGTCTCGGATCTCGGCCTCCAGCAGCTGGATGACCTCCTCGTAGTCCTGCTCGGCGCTGGTGGCCGGCCGCTGGACCACCTCGGCCTCGGCCGCCTGCAGACGGCTCTTCAGACGGGTGTTCTCCTCCACGGTCAAACAGGCCTTCTAAAGAAAAGAGAAACGCATCGTGACACAGCAGTATGGCATAAATAATAATCAGTGTTGGGTAAGTTACTTTAAAAATGTAATCCGTTACAGTTACAAGTTACCTTGTTTAAAATGTAATTGTAGTGTAACTTTTTCGATTACTTTACAAAAGTAATGTAACTAATTACTTTTGATTACTTTTTGATTACTTTAAGGTTTTAATGAGTATTAACCCATGATTAATTTTAGCATGTTATTATTAGCTATTGGCCGCAGCTAGCAGTTCAAGGCTAACGTCTTGTAAATGATCATAAACAACGTAAATAAATACATAAATAACGGCAGGTCAGTCGTATCGGGATACAACATTTTAGTATCTATACTTTTTTAAGTATCGATACTTTTGACAACCCTAGTCTGAAATGTAGGACATGTCTGGGAAAAAGAGGACGTCTGGTCACCCTACAGTTGGGTAGGCTAGGCTAGGCTAGGCTAGGCTAGGTCATAGACATCGATAAACGTTTGTCATGCATCAACACCAAACAGTCAAATATTAGTAAATCAATACGCTTCGTCTATCAGTGAGTTGCATATTTTGCAAAGGTTTCTCTTTATATTTTTTAAAAAATGTAACTAAATTTTTAATTCTTAATATTTTCAGAAGTAACTGTAACTCAATTACATATTTTCTCATTGTAACTGTAACGAATTACAGTTACTCTTTTTTTGTAATTAAATTACGTAACGTCGTTACATGTAATCCGTTACTCCCCAACACTGATAATAATAATACACTACTCTGAACGTGGTAACAACTATAGGACGCAGTATTTCCATGTACAAGTCATCTAGATTGCCCACCTCTGATGTCTTCTGCAGCTCCTCTTCAAGGGTCTTCTTGCTATGCTCCATGTCCTTAAGCATCACCTGCAAAGAAAGGAGTTTTGCAGTCATGGAAGCCGGTGAAACCCCTTGTTAGAATTTGGTATGCTAACAGTATGCTATAACATAATGTATGTTAATTACTGATTGTCTTATTCTTTTTAGAACTTTACTTTTTATGTTTATGTTTCTGTTTATGCATTTGGCAGACGCCTTTATCCAAAGCGACTTACAGAGTAGAAACAATATTACATTTATCATCACTATGACAATAAGCTATCCAGAGGAGAAACCCTGATCAGAGTCAGTGGTGACAGCAAGAGATAGAGGTAGAGGGACTACAGAAGGAGCTTTGGGGGGGTAAAGGTACGGGTTAGGATTAGGATAGGAGATGCTCTTTGAAGAGGATCTCCTATCCTAAACATAAACATAACAAGTAAAGTTCCAAAAAGAATAACACAATCAGTAATTAACATAGATTATGTTACTTTTTGTTAAAGTCTCTTGCTGTGCCCTCAGACTCTCTTTTTATCTCTTTTACCTTTAGGTCCACACACACACACACACACCATTTGTTAGCACATTCCTGTCATCTGCATGAATTAGGACCTGGCCTGTTCGTGCCCAGAGGTAACTGGCCAATAGGACTTGGTTGTGTCCAGTCCTCCTTTGAGGAGGCGGATGGAGCCCAGGAGATAATGCCCATCACCCAGATCTCAGGGCTCTTTGCCCACTGAGACCCAGAGAGAGGTTTTAGTCTGTCAGAGCCCACTGATACACTTAACTGTGTCCCAATAAATGTTATTTTTGTACTTTTGGTCTACTCTGGTATATTCTCAGGTTTCCCTTTTTGGGAAACATGTCTCTGTATTGGCCTGGAGCTGGCTTTGGCCCAATCGCCAGCTGGATTTGGTCCAGCTGGCCTTCTTTAAACGAGGCCCGTCGCCATCTTAACCGGGGATGTAAATAAGCGCTGGAATTATGCGGGATTATGTGTTTTACTGTACACCAAACCAATAAAAGCAGGTACACCGCGCAGTCTTAGGTGATGAGGAAGCATTCAGCTATTTCTTAATTTTTTTGTTAATTATTTCAATATAGTTTTAGTTTATTTTTTGGTGGATTTCTAATTAGTATTTTTGGTTTCATTTTTGTTGTTTAGAACAGATTTGTCGGTTTGCAGTTTGCTTAGTTGAAATGTTAAATTTTGTTGAGGATTTAAGTATTTTACACATAAATATTTTAAGTATTTTACAAATAAAGATGTTTTTTACCAGGCAGAAAGTCAGACAATCAGTCAACCGATTAACAGGTGAAGCAATTAGAGAAGGAGAGACAAAAGTAAAAAGCCAGAGAATTTGTTTGATTGATAACCTGCCAATTTTGGAATAAACAGATAAAGGAACCCTGAACCTTTTTTGTGCTGCGTCAAACCAGAAACCAACGTCTGACTAGTTGAGTTGTGCCCTCAGTTGGATCTATTGGATAGTTTTTTTTGTTTTTCAAGAACAAATGGTCCCTACAACCCTCTTAAAGCCTCATGTCCCTACTGGCCCACTCCGGTCCTCCAGAAAGCTCCAGCTAACAGGTCAATCTGGACTCTTCCATGTTTGGTTCCACGCTGGTGGAACGACCTCACAAGACTATCAGAGCATAAGATTCTCTTTCCTCCTTCAGAAAGCTTTGAAGACCCAGCTATTCCAGAATATCTCTGGTCCTAAAGCTCTAAATGCTCTTATCTCTTGACAGCATGTAGCATCAATGTATGGTACCTGTGGAATCTGTGTTTTAGTTGAATGTTAAACCCTCTTTTTGTAAGTGTCTTAGGATATAAGTGTGTGCTAAATGTAAATGTAAATGCTACATGAGAGTTATGCCAAAAAAAAGCACAGAAATGGGAGAATTTGGGTCTTCTAACTCTTTCAGTGACACTTATCAATTGATCCCTCTTTGTTAAACAAACAGGAATCCATAAAACTGCTAGAAATGAACATGCTACTAGGCAGCCTACAGTATTTCAGCTTAAATATAACAAAAGTAGAGCAACTAGGTGTCAGTTACACAAAACTTTATTCAGATCCATTCACACCGATAAGTCGTGTTACCAAATTAGAAAGAAAAAAGGGGGGAGACAGCTCTATAACACTGACTTCTACATGTCAGTGGCGTTTTTAACAGTACAAACGTGGCCGCTAGCCACTATTCAGAGACTGCGTAGGCTACTTACCTTGAGCTGCTTCATCTGAGTCTGCAGCTGCTTCACCTCCGTCTGAAACTGCTCCATCTCCTCGCTGCTGTAGCTGCATTCCGATTCATACGTCTGCAGACACAGATTTTATTTTAAAACTCTCCCACCAGTCTTTGCTTATTCCCTTTGGAGCAGCTGAATAGCTAAGAAGCAGCTCTGGGAGGCTGCTGTGACTCTGAGAGAAGCTCACCGGGGAATGGAAGGCCGACGTGTCCATTAAACTGGCCGCTTCGTGGTAGGAAAACATGAAGGAATCCGCACCCAAACCGAGCCGCTCCAGTTCCTCCTGGAAGATGCTGCGGGTAGCCTCGACAAAGTCTGAGCGCCAAAAGACGGGAAGGGGAAAAAAAACAAAAAAAGATGGGTTATCCAGGATTGAATAATCACAAGTGCTAAAACATGTTAGAATAGACCCTCTGACTGACACCCATTCACAGTATTAGTGCATTAAATTTAGAAAAAATTGCTGACTGCGTTGAAAAGCTTTTATCTGCTGTGTGTTTCTGCTTTGTAACTCTGGATCAGTAAGAGATAATAAGTTTAACAACTAGACTTTGTCCTGGTACAGGTAGTTTTTCTTCAGTAGCTTACATGTTTGTATTCAAAATGTGTATTCATCTATTTAAAGTTTACTCAAAAATTGGGTTCTGAAGGTCCAAATATCTTAATTACAACAGTTTAACCAATAAGAGCCCAGACCCACTTTTCCCTAAAGAGAGATGATAGAGAATAGAAAACTGATCAAATGAACCCCATTTATCACATTAAACATAAACAGAAAATCAGGTACCATCATGAAATGTGAAAGATTAGTCATTTCCAGAAGGTCCATTGGCCATTTTTAACAAATACATTTAAGTTTAAATAGGTTGCTACACCTGCATTACTCTGGGTTCTTATGGTTTTAATTACACAATAAGGGCATGATTGATTAAAAATGTATAAAACCATTTTTTTTAGATTAAAAAGATGTGTGTATGAAAGCATCTACTATGAGACCAAGAGATCAAAGTCCAAAGAATGATAAAGAGAGGCAGAAATGCCTCAAACGTCCTGATAGGAGGATGCTGGAGGTTATTGGTTTGAACGTGAAACGTGAATCCTGTGGTTTGAAGGATGTTACACAGGAGGACAGGTAACTCGGAGTGTGTGTGCAGAGTGTGTGTACAGAGATGCTCGGGTCTGACAGAGTGCCTGGACGCGAACGGACAAAGAGCTGGCTCATCACGACCCAAAGTGACACAACATACAAGTGTCACGTCAAACCGGCGAGCGCGTCTCAGAACAAATCTGTCCCGGCCCCGCTGATGGCTCCCCCGGCCACGTGTGACGGGTGGCGCTGTGTGTGGTGCACGTGCCTCACCCCCGTACGCCACCGTGCCCTGTGGGTCCGGGGTCAGACTCTGGTTCAGCCTCTTCCTCTTTTCGTCCGTCACATCCAGGCCCAGGAAGGACAAGGCCTGAGAAAGGGGGAGATAGATTTATCCCACCAGTTAAATCCCCAGAGCAGTATCTATCAAATACACACTTTAAATTGTTCATTGTTTTTTTTACCTTGCTTGTTGCTAGTGTGCTAACAAACCCAGGAGACATCCGAGGATATGTCTAAATGCTAGCAAATGTAGCATTGAATCACTTTGTCTAATTAGCTTTTATCTGGTGTGTTTTTATACTTTTTTCCACTTATCTGGGATCAGTAGGACTCAATAAGTTTAATAACTAGACTTTGTCCTGGTACATGTAGTTTTTTTTAAGTAGTTTACTCAGAAATTGGGTTCTGGAAGTCCAAATGTTTTAATTACAAAATTTTAATTGCACAAGGACATGATTTGTTGAAAATGTCTAAATCCATTTTATTTTAGATTAAAAAGATTTGTTTTTGAGGATGCTGGGACAAGGGAGGTTAATTCTGCCACAAATGAAAAATCAGACATTAATAACTTCCATTGTTTCCAGTTTAAAAAAAAAATCCAACGAAAATAGCTGAAGCACACCATCTGAAAAAAAATCTAAACATTTCAAAAGTCCCAGCAGTCAGCCTGAGCTTCGTTTTTATCAAAACATATTTCACTATCAAGAATAATTGTTCACTATATTCTGACTCCACCAACATACTATTCTCCTTCTGTCTCTGAAAACCATGACAGTAAACATATATATTTAACATCTACTCTTATCAATAGCTCAGTACTTCTCAATTAATACAGTATCCCTAAAATAAAAGAATATATATATATCTCATCTGTTTTGCAAAGGAGTCTAAACATCAAAAGAGAACTGAGCCTTTATCAAACTCCTCCTAGTCGCCCAACCCCACTAATAAATTGGCAGACAACTATCGTCCCACGACTGGGAATCTGGGCAAGACGAAAATCAAAGTGTGAGGACGATAACATAAATACGCGTAGGGAAAAAAAAGAGCTTGGAAGCAGAGAGATGGAAGAGCCAGAGGGTGGTAGAGGCGGCAAACGTGCTGATGGGAGAGAAAAAACTCACTAACGAACAGGAAAAGTGTGATAAAGCGAGCAGAGCGAGTGTGTGAGAGATCAGTAGTGAGATAACACACAACTCGGCTATAGCTGTAGAAATCAGTTATCCAAAATGAGTTGAATCCTCAGAGTGAATTTCCATCCTTTTTCTGTTTTTCCCTATGTGGTTATGGGGGGGCGGAGCCTATCCCAGCTGACAACGTGCGAGAGGGGGGGTACACTATGGGGTACCACCAGGGACATAAATCTGAAATACCTTCCATACACACACATAAAATTAAACTCTTCCACACACTACACTGAAAACCTCGCACACACACTAGTGAAAATCTCTCTCCTAAACTAGTATGTATGTGAGCTTTTCAGTAGTATATATGAAAGTAGAGCTTTACTCACCAGTTTATATGAACAGTTCTGAATATTTTTAATACGAGCTTTGAGTAGGTTATATAATAGGAGAATTTTCTCACCAGTTTAGCCTTTCACCAGTGTTTGTCAGTATAGTGTGTGGGAGAGTTTAATTTAATGTGTGTGTATAGAAGTTCATTCGGGTTTATGTCCCCTGTGGCACCCCATAGTGTACCCATGACGGGTCACCAGTCCATTTTAGGGTCACACAGAGACACGCAACCACACACACTCACTCCTAAGGGCATTTGGAGTGTCCAGTCAAGCTAACACGCAGGTTTCTGGACTGTGGGAGGAAGCCGGACTCAAACCGGGAACGGTTTTAGTGAATTAGTTCAATGATTTTCTCTAGAGGATGACCACTAGTTTTCCAAAAAATGGAACGAAAATTTAAACCCCAAATGGCCTTATTTGTCAGTCAGTCATTCAGTCAATGACTCGAAGCAGTCAAAAGAAAATGTCAACTCACGCTCTAACTGAAAATGATGTAAACTTGAAATCTGGATGGAAATGGGCACTTTGAATTAGTGTGTTCCCTTAGACACATAAGGGGGGGGAAATAAACAGGAGGGCCTCAGAGTATACAGATTCACTATTGTGGTGTGAAATATGTGGGAATATGTGATTCCCCCAAACGGAAAAAATCTAGATAAATCTTATAAAATGTGTATTTTTTGTCTGAAACTTGTGTGTAAAACACACAACCGTGAGTCAGATATAAGAGCCATAGTAAATCTGAACAAATGAAACTATGATGATTTGGGTATTTATTAGAGCAATATATAAATAAAGTAAATCATATATTCTTTATATGATGCACAATGCATGAAACATAAACAGAAAGATACATTTTTTAAATTTCTCTTCCGTAAGGGCCGACTCAGTCGGTCTGGTTGTTTTATCCCATTTCAGAACTACAATCTTTTGTATTGGTCTGCAAAACTGTAGTTATCATTAACAGAAGTGATGCTAAACCAAGAACCCTCAAAGGTGTCCGGTCGGTGTAATGTGGCACCTGATGTGTCGGCATAAGGACAATGCTGAAACAGTCGGGTGGACAGAGACAGAGGGGCTTTAAAAAGGCGTCCATGGTATCAACAATCAGGACTTTGACAGTTCTTCTCAGTTATATGACTCTAGTTATTTGGCAAACCGAGGAACCGGTCTTTGCACTGGCTCATGTTCTTCCACATCCAACACGCAAACTAAAATAAACAAGCTGGTTTCTCAACAGAGGCAGAAACATTTTTTGGGGGGGGGGGGCGCTGGACAGGTGGGGGCTGCTATGGGGGCGCTCAGGTACGAATGGGGGTGCCACAATTTGGCTTTTACAAGGAAACACAAGCTCGTACTTTGCCAGTTACGAGCTGATCTTCGCGGTCAAAAACTTCCATTCATCCACCCATCCATCCATCCACCCATCCATCCACCCATCCATCCATCCATCCATCCATCCATCCATCCATCCATCCATCCATTCATCCATCCACCCATCCATCCATCCATCCATCCATTCATCCATCCACCCACCCATCCATCCACCCATCCATCCATCCATCCATCCATCCATCCATCCACCCACCCATCCATCCACCCATCCATCCATCCATCCATCCATCCATCCATTCATCCATCCACCCATCCATCCATCCA